TTATTAAACTACCTGTCACAGCTCAGGAACCCAGTCTTCCATCTTCCCTCCCTGCCACCTTGTGGATTTCGTTAAGCTAGTTCTCTTTACACTGGGCTAGACACCTGTTACCTTGTCTAGTTTGTTTTTGTATCAGGGTGTGGCCGCTGACATCGGCCCATGGCATATTCCATTCGATTTGAGAGCTTGGCGAGAATTTAGAGATTCATGCGTCTCTTTGGTTGTGCAGATGAAAGCAGTCCGGCCAGTGGCCAAAGAAGATGCCATTTGGCATGGGCAGCACTACACAGTGGGCTGTTCAGTCATCCAGTGTCCTGGTGATGCCTCTTCTTGCTCAAAGTATCTTGTCTCACTTATTTATTCCGAATACAAACCAGATCGAGTCACAATCTAACTCAGCAAGGTACATGGACCCTCCAAAGCCCGGGTACCTTTATGTCCAGGTGCCTTACATCTTACTGCTCCCTCCACCCAGAGCATGCTGCCTGCCTGGGCCACAGCTCAGAGCCAGCTCAGACATCCTAAACGGTTCTAGAGCAGCTGAGCTGATCTTCTGCCATGCTACGATGAATGGCAGTCTATGTAAGAGTATGAACACTCTGAAGTTCTATTTCTAGTTCGCTAACCCGCCAAGGCCCAACTTCCATTTTCCTCTTCTTTGGCTTTCTTTGTTGCTTTCTGGGCGTCACCAAGGTCCCCCCAGATACCTACGTGATGGGCACATCTTTGTACTGAGGTTGCTGGGACACATTACTTCCCTCCAGAGGGATCTGAGTCACCGTGGGCATGGACTTGTTTACAAGCACTTGCTTGTTTTCCACTTTCTCACCTTTGGAAAAGAGAAGTGTGTCAATGCGTTATCATCACCTTACCGGGAATGCAAAAGATGATTGGGGCAAAGAAAATGATCACAGTTAGACTTGTCCTACCAACTCCAGACCCAGGAAAAACAGTAAACCCAGACAGTAGGAACCAGAACTCAACAAAGCAAGTCAGTAAAAAAAACAATAACAAAACATCAATTAAGATCACTGTATGAATAAAATCAAGAAATTGATTTAAGGGCACACATTAACAACTCAGCAATAACAAAATAAGATAAAATAGCAAATTTATATAGCTTTTAAGAAATGTAAACGGGTCTTGAACAATTCTTTCCTTAATCAGTGATGCGTCAGCACCAACCAAACTTGAGTAATAAGGCCGTAAAAAATATCTCCTATTTGTTTCCCTTTCTATTGCCATCTTTGTTTTGCATCTTTTCA